TGCACTCCAGTCTGGGCGACAGAGTGAGACTCCAACTCAAAAAAAAAAAAAGAAAAAGAGGAAGGGAGGAGTATCCCCTGATTTTCTGGTTGTAAAAATTAGAACTTTTATTGACTTAGTGATTTTTCAATTTTCAAAGTTACTTCATTCACTGGATTTATTTCTTAAAAAATCCTATGAGGTAGAATAACTGTCCCCCTTTATAAAGAGGAAGAAACCATCCAGGCACAGTGGCTCATGCCTATAATCCCAGAATTGGGAAGTCAATGTGGGAGAATTGCTTTAGCCTAGGAGTTCAACGCCAGTTTAGGCAACATAGTGAGACCTTGTCTCCACAAAAAATTTAAAAAATTAGCCAGGCATGGTGGTACTCTGGAAGCTGAGGCAGGAGGATCACCTGAGCTCAAGCGGGCAAAGCTACAGTGAGCTATGATCGTGCCATTGCACTCCAGTCTGGGCAACAGAGTGAGACTCTGACTCAAAAATAAATAAATTCTAAAAATAAAAAATAGGAAGAAACTGAGCCTCTGAGTCTTGCCAGAAGTCACATAGCAAATTAGAGGCAGAATTAGGAACACATTTCTCTCTCTTAGCTCTCTCCTGGTCTAAGCCTCTTAGTGTTAGAATTCTGTTTTTTATGTTTGGATAAATTTAAAATTTGATACTGAATTTCCAGCATTTAAATATCAGTATCTTAGACAAGGTGGCAAGGTGGGGGTGGGGCGGAGAAAATATCAGTCAGAAAAGTCTTGTGGCATCGGTGAGGGAGCAGTCCGTTAGAGCAGCAGGACACTGTCCCTGTTAGGAATGTCAGTTGGTCCCTGAAGTGTCCATGTGAGTGGGTATGGCTTCTTGGGGAGCCTACCCAGTGAAGACCTGACCCTGGAGCATTCTCTTCCCCTCAGCCCCGTCTCTGTCCAGTATGCCTCCATCACACCTGTCCCACTCCCATCCTTCCTCAATGTGAGGCACAGGCGTGATGCGTTAGGGTTGCTGGATTACTAGAGGAGAGGCTTTTTGTTCATTTGAATAAAAATCAGCATTTAGTCAGATTAATAGCTGATTTTTAAAAATATCCTTTAGACCACAAGTCTAATCCCTGTCTTTTAGATCCCTGTATGTGTCAAAAATTTATTACATAAACTATAATTTAATGAGTATGATCTGATACCTTTTCAGATCTACAAAGACATTCCTGGAAATAAAGACTCATCCTTTCAAACCCTTAAAAAACTGTTTAAGTTACCTCATCAATAAGGGTACCTGATCTCAAACCAGGTGAAGTGGGGACCAAAAGTGAGGCCCAAACGTTGCCTACACAATGACCATTTGCATACCTAACCCTGAATTGTACCTCACATCTTGAAAAACAAACATATAAACAAATGTTTAGGTTGTACACCAAACAATAAGCAAAGTTGTCTCCAGTCTGTAAGAGGCTGGACACCAGTGACTGAAAATGGATGATGTTCTTCCTTCCTGCTTGCAGCTTTACAGGGCATCAGCCTTGTTTGAAACAATCCGACACGAGGCACAGCTGAGCACCGACTACAAACTCTCCCTTTTTGACCTGCAGACGTCATCCTACCAAGCCTTGCAGCGAGTGCTTGTTAGCCTAGGTGAGAGCATCTGGGGATTCCATTTAAGTGTGTGTACGCATACTATCTGTGTGTTCAAGTTGTTTAGTGACTTCTGTGAGTAAATATGATTTGTTTTCACAACAGATTAAGCCACACTGCAATCAGCCATTGAATTTTTATTCCTTTATTTAATCAATATTAGCTGAGCACCTACTATGAGGGGGAACCCCCCAAAACTAGAATTAGTTTTTGGAGGGTGGGCCCCTTGTAATACAGGCTTCCCCTGCTAGGTGAGTGTTCTAGGAACCCATCGGCATCAGTGTGTGTATGCGTTTTGTTGTCGTGAGAGGCTGCATCTGGCTTCAGTGCATTTTTTTGGAGATTCTTTCAGTATGTTTGCCCATTTCATAATGGGTGATTAATAAGCACACATGCCCACACCATGCTGAGTGTTCATCAGTTTTTGACCAAAAATGGCATGACCTCCATGCCCCATTCTCCCTATTCACCCAATCTCGCCCCAGGCAACTTTTTTTTTTTTTTTTTTTTTTTTTGTCTCCCTGGATGAAAAAAGTTCTCAGAGGGAAACGATTTTGCTGATGTGGAAGAGGTGAAACAAAAAATGGCAGAAGCACTAAAAGGCATCAAAATTGACCAAGTTCAAAAACTGTTTTGGACAGAGGAAAAAGCATCTCAATAGGTGTACCGCATCAAACAGAGAATACTTTGAAGGTGACTGAAGTTTAAACATGTAAGAATAAATACACAATTTTTTAATACATAAATTCTGGGGTCTTTTGAGTCCCACCTTGTATGTGCTGAATGCCAGCCCTGGGTATTATGGTGAAGAAGTCCGGTTCCTGACTTCAAGAAGCTCTTGGCTGTTGAGAGATCTGTCAGTAAGTCCAGTACACTGTTAACTGGCACTGTAGGACAGTGTAAATTCAGATGCTGTTGTAACAGTTGCTTGGCTGGCAGATCCAGGAGCTAGAAGAGGTGTCCCCAAGATAGGGATGCTTGAGCCAGGTGTGCCCTCTCAGGTTCCCTCTCATCAGTAACACCTGGTTCAAGCATCTGACTAAGGCACCTAGCCTCTTCTCTGTTTCCTCAGCCACACGTCTTTCAATGTTGCTATCTAATAAATGTCTTTACCATCTGGGTCTGCCTCCTAGGCTGTGAGGCAGTTAGTGATCATTCTCCCAAGCCTGTGTGCTTAGGATTCTTCCCTCACCTGGGCCTTAACTATTGCAGTCAGCCTCTTCCAGCTCTCCTGTCACCTGCTACTTCCCAGGAGATGTTTATTGGAACTAACAAAATCTTTGAAGGTAGATGTTAAGCTTTTTTGGGAACCTTTTCTTTGCTGTGTATATGCAAGTACTCAAGTTTCCTCTTGAAAAATGTGTCTATTAAATGTGCTCATTGCCTGGGATTTCAATTTATTATCTGTTATAATCACAGTGTTAAGTCTGTCAGCACTTTGGGGCCGATTTTCCAATGTGCACACAAATTGTTCCTGCTGTTCCAGTTAATAACTTAATAGAACAAAAGGAGACATTTGCATACACATATAAATCTCTACTTTCTACGGTTACCCGAACTATAGGAAGCCCAGCATCCTTGAAGTGCTGTTGGAGCTGCCGCATCCGGTCTCCTGCTTCCACCTGTTCTCCTTGACCCCTAGTTCTAGTGACTCTTTTGGTTTATATTTATTGCACAAGTAAATCCTCTGCATTGCATTCCTTCAGCACGTATAAACAATCCTCACTTGAAAGTATGTTGCTTTACATTTTTTGTACTTTGATATTGGTGCATTAACTTTTAACCTAGATTATTGACTAGTTTCTTGGAAGAAATGGGGTTAGAAGTTGGGTTGAAAGACTGAGGAAATGCTTGAAATAGTAAAGCAATTTTAAAGAAATAGAGACCTCAGAGGTAAATCCTTTGCCCCTGAATGGACTGAAATATCAGCTCTCATAATAGTAATACTACCTGTTACACATGTGATGCTTTCAGTAATGCCTCCCCAGCATCTCTACATGTAGTGCCTAATTTAGTCTTTACAATAGCCCTTTGAGACAGGCAGGACAATTATTACAGTCCTTCTTTTTGAGACTTGGTCTGTGAAAGGGGAAAGGGCACACCCAGAAAAGGACTGGCATGTGTAAAGGGTATAAATTGGGGTGGAAATGAAGAGACACGGCTGGGCAATGTGGTGCATAGAAGGGCTGCATCAAGCAGAGAGATGCTCAGGAAACATGTCCTGGAGATCTCATCAGAATCTAAGTGGAGCAAGGAATTGAGAGTAACCAGAGTGCCAAGCATCAGGTCCAGAAAGCCATGTGAATAGGATGTGAAGTGTCAGAAGCCAGGTCAGGGAGCAACGCAGGATGTGAAGCAGAGAATGGACAGGGCTGAGGACAAATACACTGAATTAGATCAGCTCTCTTGTAGCGCTGGCTGCAAGGTAGGTGAAGGCCCAATGGCTTGGGTAGTGTAGAATCAGTCATGTTGAATCTAAACATGTGGAGTTTTATGATAGTGGACCCAACACCCACTATCTAATGCAGGGAGTTGAGTTGGAGTAGTGCAACTGAGCTTCTGTCTCACATTGGAGAGCGGAGGCTGTAAGGTTTCTGCCCAGGATCTGATAACTGTAACTGACAGCCCTCTCTAAGTACACACACTCACTGTGGATTCCTCAGCCCATCCCTTTGTCTCCTAGGCCATCATGATGAAGCCCTGGCTGTGGCAGAAAGAGGACGGACAAGGGCATTTGCTGATCTTCTGGTGGAACGACAGACAGGACAACAGGACTCCGACCCCTACTCCCCAGTCACTATTGATCAGATCTTAGAGATGGTCAATGGCCAGAGGGGGCTAGTGCTTTACTATTCCCTGGCTGCGGGCTACCTGTATAGCTGGCTGCTTGCTCCTGGGGCAGGTAAGATCTCTTTCTGTGGAAACAGTCAATTAAAAGACTAGACCTGTGGAAGTCTAATGAATAGAGATTGAAGAGGTATCTTATCATAGATCAGACTAAGGAGCTGATGTTGGATTTTAGCAAAACCTCAGCCACGGTAGATATTCCATGGTGGGGCATTCCATTAGTAAGACAGCCCAGCTTTCTCATTCCCCCAAGAAATCAGTACTCCTCACTGGTGAGTGTGGAAGCATTTATCAAGGAAAACTAAGAGCCAGAGGATTAATTTCACCAGCAGCCCTGTTTGTAGGCAGCTGTTGTTCATTAGCTAATAAAGCGATGACTGCAAATCCTAACAAATTCCTTCTAAATATGGTTTAATAATTGTGACCCTTTGTCATGGCAAAGTTAAAAAGACTAAAGTGATAATAGCAACTCTATCATGGGATGTAAATAAATCTTATGCTTGAAATGTCTGAGTTTAACAAAACCCATTTTTAACCGGCTCTGTTGTAAATCTATTTCAGAAGTAAAAATCCCCTTTGATTAAATCAGCATTGAATGTTCAGGCTGTAACAGTTTCACTAAATACAGAAACACTAATTAGCTGTTAGGGCCATATTTTTTGCATAATAAAATGCTGATGGCTTTACCATGTTGGAGACATACCAGATCCAATTAGAGTTTATTGACTGGGGAAGTGAATCTTATAATTGGGAATCTTGACAAATGGACTCCTTGAATATCTGTAAGCCAGTTTCAAAAACTTTAACTGCCAGGGAGGATTGACAAGATTTTCTTGATTATGTCTATGTCCCTTTGATTTAAAAATAATAATAATAATGGCTAGATGACTGTTCCCAGATGCTTTTTGTGTTCTAAGCATTTGTGCCGATACATTCTATGCGTCAACATTATTTTTTATAATCTTTTCCCTTTAATTCCGTGTTACTTATGAGCTTTCCACAAAGAGCATTCTTTCCTCTGACCTTTTTTTATGCTAAAGGTTTTAAGTTGTGATTTTCATAGTGACTTGATGAATGAATGTTGGCCGTATGGAATCCGTGTGATCCCAGCTCCCTAAGTGGCACAAATACTCCTGGGGACAAGGTTGATAACTGGGAGGTATCAAGCTCTTTCTGTCTGTGGTTGTTACATCCCGGGGACATGATTTGACAGGTGGTATATCCAAATCCCTGTAATAATGAGCCATGTATAATGAGGGTTCTATTGCTTCTTTTTCCATTCCTTTTTGCTCTTAATGAGGCTCTGAAGCTTTCACTAGGGGCTTTAATCCAATCAGAGAGGACCAGCATTTTCCAGGGATGACACACCTCATTACCATTTGAGAATATGTCCTATTTATTGCCAGAAAAACCACTGTGGATTGCCTCAGTTTCATGCAGCCATCATTTTTGCTCCTTTAAGCCATTAATGACTTTTGACCAGTTAGTCATATTTAAAAATGGTTTAAAATGTTTTATCTGTGCTTTATACTGCATGTTTATTATAATTTGCTTTTGCGAAATGAAAGATCTTTTGTAATACAATTTCTACTTGGCTAATTAATTATATTTTTGTTTGGGATTTCGGTTTCTGCAGTATACCTTGGCATATTCATGTACTAGTCCTGAAAAGAGATCTTCCCTAGTAGATGTTATAAGAAGCATCTGTTTTGAAATACACATGAAGTAGTCTTTATTCCAGGAGCTTCTGAAAATACCATGAAAAGCACAAGCTGCATCTTGAATTCCCTAGTTTCAAGCACCAAGCCTCATGGTAAAAGTTGTTAAAAGGGTGCTTACCAAAATAGAGAAAGCCCTCCCCAAACCTTGGATTTCATGATTTCTTCACATGTTTTGCAGGATGGTATGCTTGTCAAAGAAGTCACACACCATCAACATTCCTGTCCCCTGCCTTCAGCTTTCCCTTCCCCAACTCCAATCATGTATAATGTTGGCTGTGTTTGTCTTGCTTCAGGAATTCTGAAGTTTCACGAACACTACCTGGGTGATAACATGGTGGAAAACTCTGGTGACTTCCAGACCGGCAGCAGTGCAACGCTTCCAACAGCGACCAGCTCCACCCTAGAGCAGCATATTGCCAGTGTCCGGGAGGCTCTAGGGGTGGAGTCTTACTATTCAAGGTAGGTAGTAAAACATTCCCAAGCCCATTAGTATATAAATCTCAAGTTTATTATTATTATTATTATTATTATTATTATTATTATTTGCAAACATCCTATTTGAGCTAATAGAAGAAATCTTTTGGAATTCACACGTTTGAGTTCAGTCTATTCACAGTTGCTACAGCAGAAACAAATATGTGTTTCTGGAGTGTAAGCCCCTTAGTGGTCTGCCTTTATTCTTTTTAGTAATTTCTCTTCAGATGGAGAAGGGCCTCATCAGAGATGCCCATTCTCTAAGCAGCATTTGTAAGCTGTTTAAACATAAACATAACTTTGAATTTAACATACAAGCCAAGTATAACTGAGATTCTTTTTGGTTATGAACACATTGTAATGTTTATATTATAGCTGAATGTCTATTGGAGAGAGAAATTGAGCATCAGTGACAGGATATGTGCACAGATCTGTGCACTGGGGAGCTGAAGTGAAGGGAGTTGAACTCCCAAATATGAAGAACAAAGCATAAGTTTATGAAAACATTTTATCATAATGAGTATTTTACATAGGGAAAATAATTTCTACAAACACCCTGCTTCTGGGGAAAATCAAAAGAAGAGGGTACCTGAGAGCTGGGTTGTAACCACATTTCCTAGTCACCTCAGTTCTCCATCCAGTGATGTACAAGTGTCTAGAAGACCCACGTGTCAGGGAAGCTGCTGTGCTAGCTGGTGTCAGACCCCAATAACATCTGCTTGTCTCCTGAATAATTTCATATATAATCATAAAAATCCTGACAAGGTATCTATGATTTCTTTAGAGATGTTTCATCCAGACTCCTGAGTGTGGTGGTTATAATTAGCAACTGGACTGATCTTTGGATAATTTTATGTCAAGACTGGAAGGGGCTGTAGTGGTCATCTAGTCCAGACTCTTTATTGAACAGAAGTCAGCACTAAAATAGGACCTGCTGACAGCCAAGTTAGTGTGAGAGCCAGGATCAAAACTATCTAGGTCTCACCCAGACTTCCAGGCCAGGCCAATGCTTGTTATGGTTTTAATTTTCAAAATTACTGTCATATTTTGAGAAATTAGCCAAAGCATGTAAGAATGTCATTTCTAGCTTCTGTTTTAAGTATGAACAGGCTTTAGCAACATACTCACACTTTCATCTTATTTCTCCTATGACTGCTATGCATCCTGAATATCTGTGTCCGTAACCCCAGGCAATGGTTTGGCAGTTACAATTGGTTGACAGTGTGGAACTCTCAAGAATTTAGAAGTAAAGCTGCCCTCTAGAATTTACATTATAAATAGCCATAACTAGGATAGATTAGAGATATACAAACCTTGAAGCAGACAGAAAGACAGTTGGGCCTGTGTGAGTAGACTGTAACCTGACCAAGGTGTTGCGTATTCAAGGAAGAGTTAGAGAGGAATGGTTGGCCAGCAGTAGAAACACAGAAAAGGGAGAATAAGGAGGGCAAACACTAGCAGTGCCTATTTCTGATATTGGCTTGGGGTCTCAAAGTCCCATCATCAAGGCTGATCCTATGGTGGACAACAGTCATCATACTCTCTTATCCCTCCTGTCCCCGGTATGTGAGTGCTCACTCTGCATAAGGTACTATGCTGGAGATTGGGGATCATGTTGAACAAGGCAGACAGCTCTTCTCTCATGGAACTGATAGCAAACTCTGGAAACCTTCCAAGTTTGAAAACCTGATTGATGTTGCTAACATGCCCAAAGAGGCTTTGCCTCTTGGGAACACATTTTCATTAACTGAGCTGAAAGAGAGTTGTCTAAACCAGAATGCCAGTTTGGGGTTTTTTTGTTGTTGTTTTTTTCCCTTTTTTTAAAGAATACCAGCTTTTATGTACATTTTCTCCCTGCAAGTAGGTGTTCATGAGAAACCAAATAAGATTAGGAAGGTTGACAAGAAGCATGGGACCAGAACAAGGGAAGGCAGGAGGACCATCTAGGTCTTCTCCACCAATGGTTACTGAGGCCTATGTCTACTGCCTGGGCATCCTTTTAGCAGTTCGCTGCATCCTTCTGAGCTCAGCTGAAGTATCTCCTCCTCAAAGACGTCTCTATAACTCCTGCTATAGGTTTCCCTATCCATCTCTGCTTATAGATTCTCATTATACCTTGCATTTTCACTTAAATAAAATATTTTATGACTGGGCGTGGCAGTTCAAGCCTGTAATCCAGCACTTTGGGGGGCCGAGGTGAGAGGGTTGCCTGAGCCCGCGGGTTTGAGACTAGCCTGGGCAACATGGTGAGACCTTGTTTCTACAATAAAATGAAAAAATTAGCTGGGTGTGGTAGACTGTGCCCGCAGTTCTGGCTACTTGGAAGGCTGAGGCAGAAGGATCACTGGAGCCCAGCGGGTGGATGCTGGGGTGGCCATGATCTTGCCACTGCACTCCAGCCTGGGTGTGGGAGTGAGACTCTGACTTAAAAAAATAAAACATAAAAAATAAAATATTGTATATACTCTGTTGTTTGCTATTTTTCAGTTCCATGAGAGCAGGGCTATGTCAGCCTTGTTCATCATGATCCCCAACCTCCAGCATAGTCCCTTCTGCAGAGTGAGAACTCATATACCAGGGGCAGGAGGGATAAGAGATCACAATGACTGATGTCTACCACGGTGTCAGCCTTGATGATGGGACTTCAAGATCCTAAGTCAGTGTCAGAAATAGGCACTGCCAGAGTCTGCCCTGCTTTCTCTCCCTTTTTTGTGTTTGTACTGCTGGCCAACCAAGATCATGAGGGTGCCTGCCATGTACAGCACCTGCCATTTGCAACCTCTGCACACACAAAGGTGGTTTCTGTGTACTCTCTTCCTTATGACAATGTGGGGACCACACTCAGGTCATCTCAGTCTAAACCAAACACTCACAGGGCTCAGCCTTCTGCACTTAAGTGAAAATATAGATTCCACTTAATCCTGGTTTTCAGGTATTTAGATTAAAATTCACCGTAAGAAGGAAGGGGATTACCTTTTGACTCATTCTTCCTAGCCCTCCTCCTCATTAGGCACCATGGTTTAACTCCAAACACTTGTACCTAAGCAGTTCTTTTATACCATACTAGAGGTTGAATAATTCTGTTTCCAATTACCTTTTGAATTGAAGACTGTCTTTGGGTATAGTTCATCTTGTCATCAGTGGCAGGGAGAGAGGAAGGACTGTAATGTGCTTGTGTTCTGCCATGTGAACCTTTCCTCTGCCCCACAGAAAGCTGACAGGTCATAATATGTCCTTAGGATCTCTAGCAGGCTATGTGGCTTGATGCTCAGCATCACTTTGTTGGGGTGACCTCAGTGACTTAGATCCTCATCTTAGACTGCCAGAAATAAGATCTTTCTGGCTGCATTAGAGTAATCTTATTAGAGATTTGTTCATATTTGTGAGCTTAAATTCAAGTTCTTGATTATGATATTAAAATTGAACACTTTGCATCCTCTTTGGAAGACAGTGTGGCAATTTCTGAAAGAACAAGAAATTGAACTTCCATTTGACCCAGCAATCCCCCTATTGGGAATATACCTGGAGGAGCTCAAATCATCTACAAAAAAGATACCTGCACACACATGTTTGTTGCAGCTGTATTCACAATAGCAAAAACATGGAACCAACCATGCTGCCCATCAAAACTGGACTGGATTTTTTAAAATGTGGTACAAGCTGGGCTTGGTTGCTCAGCCTGTAATCCCAGCATTTTGAGAGGCTGAGGTAAGTGGATTGCCTGAGCCAGCGGGTTCGACACCCGCCTGGGCAACTTGGCAAGACCTCATCTCTACAATAAAATCAAAAATTATCTGGGCGTGGTAGTACATACCTGTAGTTCCAGCTACTCGGAAGGTGGAGGCAGAAGGATCGTCGGAGTCCAGCAGGCCGAGGCTGCAGTGGCCGGGAGCGGCCACTGCACTCCAGTCTGGGTGACAGAGTGAGACTCCAACTCAAAAAAAAATGTGGTTACATATACACTATGGAATATTACACAGCCATAAATAAGGACAAACATATGGACTTTGCAGCAACTTGGATGAATTTAGAGTCTATCATGGGGGTTCCGGTAAGATGGCGATGGCATAGGTGAATTTGTGAGACTCTCCGAACATGAGTTCCCAAAAAGACTCTTACTTTTCTTCCTGCAGCCCACTGCCATCCATACTGGTACGAGGCCCGGGGACCTTTGATCCCACGCAGGGCCAGAGATTGCGGCCCCTGGCTGCGGCTGCTCTACTATATGTGACTCCCACCTGCTCAGGAGTCCTAGGTCTCAGCTCCCTCCCTGGCTACATTGTCTCACCCAGCACCAAACTGCCGGTCACCCAGGGAGGCTCTGGGCGCCTGCCTCTCAGAGATACTGGTCCCATTTCTGGCTGAAGTGCCCTTTGAGGCACCCAGGGCCACGACCTGACCTTTGGAGCTTTGGAGCTCTGGAGCCCTGGGCCCACCCTGGCTGAGGCACTCAGTATGCGACCTCAAGCTTGTGTAAGGGAACAGAACCCCCAACTTGTGTAAGGTGCTGATCAGAGGCTTCCAGCTCCAGAGGAGGGAACACCCGACCCTCTCCTCCACCCCAGCCTGCTGGTGACACCCCGGATCCAGCGCCCAGCTGTGCAGCTGATCCCGGTGCCTCTCACCCAGAGACCCAGATGAGCATCCCTAAAAGTGAAAGTGAAGCTACCAACTCCGCCATTCTCCAGGCAGATTTGCATCACCCCGCCCACCTATCAGAGCCTCCACCTCTGTTCCCACGGTGACGTCGTTAAATGGGACACAAAGCCCCTCCCCTACGCTGAACAGACTGAGACAACTAAGAGTCACAGACCTCCCAGGCAGCAGGCTAGCTGCCTGCAACAAAAACAAAGGGGAGAGGCTGGAGATCAGAGCTGAAGAGACTTTAGCCACTAAGGAAAGATTACAGAACTAGTCTGATCTCTTATTTTGACCTTTGGTTTTATCATTCTGACTGTATGTGTTGCTCACTATTATTTGCTTTC